TGTGGCTCAAGTGGTAGAGCGCTAGCCTTGAGCTGAAGAGCTGAGGGACAGTGCCCAGGCCCAGAGTTCAAGCCCCATGACTGATCAAAAAAAGAATCCAAAATGTAGAAATATTTTGTAGCATCTTGTTTGTGTAACTTTTAGTTTTAAAGAAAAGAAACCACACATGAATTTTCACTTGGGAGATGGAGCAGGTGGCAGAGGCTGCTCACAGCACTGGTTTACTGAGGCATGGAAATATTACCACTATATTTTCTGCTTGCCCCAAAGTATTGATCCCACAAGCATAAAGTATCCCCAAACAGAATACTAACATCTACCATGATAACAATGTCTCTGAAAAAGACCCAAGCTGTTTGTTACACAGAACCACTAAAATACCGCTTTTAAAAACTATAAAATACCTTGTGAGACGATTAATAAGAAACTGAACAGACTCACCAATCTGACAGATTGTAAACTGCTGAACACTCTGACGTGTCTTTAGATACCACTCGGATGGCAAATCAAAAAGACTGGACAACAACAAAAAAAGGCATGTCATTGCAGGCGCAGTTGCAGGCATGGGCCTTCAGGATGGCTCGGCCACTCAAGCAGGAGCCACTTCTTTCCTTGTCACAAGGAGGGCACAGTACTGACACTTAGTGAACAAGAAGCCGGGTCCCAAAAAGTCCTGCCCTCCACCCCCCCCCCCAGACCCAAACGGTGCCTACTGAGAAACATGCTGGCCTGGCCCAGTCTGGAACTGGGGGACAGAGTTGAGTGGCCTCCCAGGGGCTCCAAGACAGCTTGAACTTTACCTGATTTGTTGGGGTCCACACAGATTTGAGCGGAGGCCAGTGAATTCTATGTCCAGACCTGCAGGGGGGCAAGAAAGACAAGAGTCCCCACTGGGAAACCCGCCTCAGGGGGCTGACACTCACCTGTTCACCCTCTGCTCCTGGACCCAGGTGAAGTCAAGAAGGGAGAAACAAGGAGCCAAACTCAGGACGGGCCAGGCCGCCCCTGGGCCTCTGCGGGGGTGTCTGGCCAGCAAGGGGCATGGGGGCTGCTTAACGCCCCCTGTCCCGGGCTGGAGCAGAAACCTCCATGTCCTTCTGGGGGCTGAGCCCCGGGCCCACAGACCCCTCCCGCCCCGCCTCGTCCCCACCCCCTGCCTCAGCCCCCCGGGGCCGGGCTCTCTGACCACCAGGCCCTCACCCCCGCAGCCGTACCCACGAAGTCGGCGTCCAGGACCAGCTTCTGCAGCAAGGGAAGGGTCTGCTCAAAGTCATCGGCGCAGACGTCCATGGCGGCTCGGCCTACGGAGGCCGGCCGGGCGCCCTGTGCGCCAGCCGCGCCACCCACGCCACCCTCACGCCGCCTCCACCCCGCCCAGTGCACGCGGGACCCCACCCACCCATGCCGTGTGAGAACCTGGGGGACGGGAAGTCCCGCCCCGCGCTGACGTCCAACCAGCACGCCAGCACGCCAGGCTGCTGAGGGGCGGGGCGTCAAAGGGCGGCTGGAGGGGGGGGGGCGGACCACCGGATATAGGGAGGAGGGGTTCCGGGGTTGGAGATGAGAGACAAGGGTGCTACCAGAGGCACATGGGACTCAGCCCTCGGGCCTGAAGGGAGACTCGGGCCGGAAGAGAAGCTGGGGGGATGCCAGGCTGGCCTGAGGGGAGGCCCGGGCCGGAAGAGAAGCTGGGGGGATGCCAGGCTGGCCTGAGGGG